TGATCGAGTTAATTCCAGTATTTATTTGTCCCCCACGATAACTTCCCCTCTTCTTCTTGGTTTTTTCATGTCTGAAGGATTTGCCTGGAAACAAAAACAAACAGTTATTATGTAACCTATCTTCATACCCTTTCTTGAACATAATTTATTAGTTTGTTTTTGTGGTAACTGCTTTTGCTGTAACTTCATTTCCCAGAAAGGGGAGCATCCCCAAAGGGGATGGGTGCTAACCATGACTGGGTCAAGAGGCCTGGGTGCTAACCATGACTACGTCTAGAGGCCTGGATGGTGACCATGACTGGGTCAAGAGGCCTGGGTGCTGACAATGACTGGGTTAAGAGGTCTAAGTGCTGACCATGACTGGTTTAAGAGGCATGGGTGCTAACCACGGCTGGGTCAAGAGGTTTGGGTGCTAACCACGGCTGGATCAAGAGGTCTGGGTGCTAACCATGACTGGGTCAAGAGGTCTGGGTGGTAACCATGACTGGGTCAAGAGGCCTTGGTGCTAACCATGACTGGGTCAAGTGGCCTGGGTGCTAACCATAGCTGGGTCAGGGGGTCTGGGTGCTGACCATAAATGGGTCAGGAGGTCTGGGTGCTGACCACGACTGGGTTATTGCATTGAGTTCTTAAACCAGAAACTACATCTTTGTGGTGCTTCTATCCACCAAGGAACACAAAAGGGTCACAGCAAGTTGCCAGAAAAACCTTAAGGAATGACAAGGAATGGGGTGGATCGCAACCTGCCATGAGCTAGCATCCCATACATGGGGACTCACAACCCTTCTTCTCACTACATGCAGCAAAAACTGGAATAAACTCAGGTGGCTTGAGAAATTGTGGTCAAGAGTAAACTGTTCCTTTACCTTTTGTTCCTCGTTAACATTTTACACCTTACCTTTCACTTGTTTGAGGTCTCTGTTGGCCTTTTCGCCCCAGTCTCCTCTAGAACCATACTACAACAGAAAGTTGAGAAGGAACATGAAAGAGGGAAAATAGCTTTAACTTGTACGGACTGCATTTGGTCAAACCTCTCTCATTGAATCACTCGAACTTTTCTACAATGGTCACCAAAACACTACTGGTTTAACTTGCTTTAGCTATTTTTATCATTGACAGCAGCAGTAGCCTCATGGTCTATACACTGGATGAAGTTGTGCAAAGCACAATTTACAATAATCTAGGCTTCAACAATCTTCAAAGAGTTTTGAATATTTCCCTAGCCATTCTAAAATAATTGCCCTCTCTAATAATTCCCCTAGTCTAAGAGTCCTGAGAATCAATTTGTTCCAGGGGTTTGGGGGGGGCTTACGAGAGTATTTAAAGTAACTGTTCCTGTTCAAATTGTACTCTTTTTCTCACCTTTGCCTCAAAACTGTTATCTTGTAGCCTGGGGTCTACTGCTATTTCTTCTTCTCTTACCCTTCTAAAAGGCGTTTTTGTCTAAATTGAAAATGATTCACTGACATAAGTGCTGAGTCGTAGACAAAGCAGTCCTACAAATGCACAACTGCACAGCTGGTGGCGTCAGCACTACTGTCAGTTGCAAACATCATACCAAGAAAGAACAGAAAGAAGAATTGGAGAAAGAGAAAAAAAGTTAAAACAATGTTTAATTGTGCCTGTTGATTATGAATTATTTTCTTATTTCATTTCAATTCCATTTTTGTGAGACTTTAGTTTCATACAACAAGGCATTCTGCATTTCTAATATTCCAGCATTCCATGTTAAAGGATAATCTGTCATTCCACCATTCTATCGTTCCATTGAATAGGGCCACCCTTTTAAACTTCAGGCGTTGCTTGCTTTGTGAATCTAGCAGCTCTTTTGGGCATTAATTACTGATTCAAATGGTAAAATGCTCTCTTTGAATACAAAAAAATTTTCCTCAAAGTTTTCATGATGTGCAGATCATACTTACTTAGATCTTTATGCAAGGAAAAAAAATTGTTTTCAATTATGCATTCCTGTGTTCTGTTTATCTTACAAATTACACATTTTTAAAAGTTTCTTATACAGTGGCATAAAATTTGCGTGAGATTATTGCAAAGCTTCACATTGTCTCACCTTGCTTCCTCCTTTCTGTTTGGAATTTGTAACTATTGGAGTGGAAGATGCTGAAAGATCATGTTAAAGGTGGATTATGTCCGATAACTGAGGTGGTTAAGTCATGCATGCATACACACTGCACATTGACAACTGGGAAGTATTAAAAAAATGAAAAAAAAAAGACTACGCAAAATTGTTCACCTGATGCAAAAATACCGTCGCGTATCAACAGCCTTGTATGCAAAAACAAATTGGTTTGTCAGTTGCACTATATACAGTAAAAATTTGACCCTTTGTCAGTTCTCCAAAATATGAAAAATAAAATTTTCTTTGTCAATAAAAATCAAGCACCCATACAAAAATACTTCTGCAAATTTTCAACTGGTAACAAATCTTTCAGTTAAAGGGGTTTTCAGAAAGTTTTGAAGTACATGGCAAAAACTGCTAATAAGGCAGCTACATGTAATGAAAGTTTGAATTTTACTGTTGGTAATATTGAATTCAGAGAGGTAGGCAGTGAGTTTCACCAGTTGTAAGCTCTCAAAGAAATTTCTGAACTTACTAAATTGAATTCTAGCAAAAAAGGAATGTTTTAATTTTCTACCTTGAGAAGAAGTCTCTTTTTGTCACACAAGAAAAGGACGCATAAGAACCATCAAATGAATGTACATACACAAAGCTGCCTTCCAGGACAATTAGACAATCTTACTACCCAGTTAATGTTGCATGTTTAAAAAATGCACAACAAATCACAAATACACGTAATTACCTTGTGGTCCACCAGTTGTTTCCTTTTTGGCTTTCCTCTTCTTGGACTTGGCTGCTTCATTCAATTTACTGTTGTCCCCCGCATCAGAATCGTCTGAGCTGGAACTTTCATCTGAAGATTTAGCCTTTCCCTTTTGTTGTTTTGGAGTGTCTTTCACATTTTTAACTTTCAAGGATTCCTCTTCATCATCTGAGCTGGAACTTTCATCTGAAGATCTAACCTTTCCATTTTGTTGTTTTGGAGTGCCTTTCACATTTTTAACTATCGAAGTATCCTCCGCTTCATCTGAGCTGGAACTTTCATCTGAAGATCTAGCCTTTCCATTTTGTTCTTTTGGAATGCCTTTCACATTTTTAACTTTTGAGGATTCCTCTTCATCACCTGAACTAGAACTTTCATCTGAAGATTTAGCCTTTCCCTTTTGTTGTTTTGGAGTGCCTTTCACATTTTTAACTTTTGAAGATTCCTCTTCATCATCTGAGCTGGAACTTTCATCTGAAGATTTAGCCTTTCCATTTTGTTGTTTTGGAGTGCCTTTCACATTTTTAACTTTTGAGGATTCCTCTCCATTATCTGAACTGGAACTTTCATCTGAAGATTTAGCCTTTCCACTTTGTTGTTTTTTAGCACTTTTTATGTTGTCAACTTTCTTAGCCTTTTCTTCTTCTTCAGCTGAGCTTGAACTTTCATCATCTGTGTCCATCCTTTCATCGATGTTGTCTCCCTGTTTCAATGATTCACTAAAAGAACTTGTGGACTTGGCTCCTTTTGATGTGTCTACCGAAATATCCATACTTTCATCTGAGCTAGAACTGTCATCTGATGATTCTTTCTGCTTGCTTTTCTCATGTTTGTCCATTTTTGACTTTGTATTTTTGTAAGCTGATTCATCATCGTCTGAACTAGATTGCGAAGAACTGTCTCCTTTTTTCTTGTTATTTTTGTTATTTACTGGTAATTTATCTATTTTCCCTGTTTCCTCTTCCTCTGAACTTGACTCAGAAGAACTAACATCATCTTTTGGTTTAATTTTTTTCTGGTTTGCTGTTTTTCCACTCCCTTTTGTTGGAGTTGCTTTTTTTCCTGTTTCTTCTTCCTCTGAACTTGAGTCAGATGAGCTTTGACCTCTAGCTTTTGTCTTTTGGTTTGCTTCCTTTCCTCTTACTTTTGTAGGAGGTATCTTTTTTCGTGTTTCTTCTTCCTCTGAACTTGACTCAGATGAGCTTTCATCTTCTTGTTTTTTCTTCTGGCTTACTTTTTTCCCATTGACTTTTGTTGGAGTTGCCCTTTTCTCTGTTCCTTCTTCCTCTGAACTTGACTCAGATGAGCTTTCATCTTTTTGTTTCTTCTTCTGGCTTGCTGTTTTTTCACTCACTTTTGTAGGAGTTTCCTTTTTCCCTGTTTCCTCTTCCTCTGAACTTGACTCAGATGAGCTTTCATCTTCTTGTTTTCTCTTCTTGCTTGCTTTTTTTCCACTGACTTTTGATGGAGTTGCCTTTTTCTCTGTTCCTTCTTCATCAGAACTTGATTCAGATGAGCTTTCATCTTCTTGTTTTCTCTTCTGGCTTGCTTTTTTTCCATTGACTTTTGATGGAATTGCCTTTTCCTCTGTTCCTTCTTCATCGGAACTTGACTCAGATGAGCTTTCACCTTCTTGTTTTTTCCTCTGGCTTGCTGTTTTTCCACTCACTTTTGTTGGAGTTGCCTTTTTCTCTACTACATCTTCCTCGGAACTTGACTCAGATGAGCTTTCATCTTCTAGCTTTTTCTTCTGGTTTGCTGTTTTTCCTCTCACTTTTGTTGGAGTTGCCTTTTTCCCTGTTTCCTCTTCATCTGAAATGGACTCAGAAGAGCTTTCATCTTTGGGTTTTCGCTTTTGATTCTCTTTCTTTTCATTTAATTTTGCAGGGGTTGCATTTTGTTCTGCTTCATCTTCCTCTGAACTTGAATCAGATGCACTATCATCTTCTTGTTTATTCTTATGACTCACTTTTTTTCCATTCACTTTTGTAAAAGTTTCCTTAGCTGCTCCTTCCTCCTCTGAACTTGATTCAGATGAGCTTTTATCTTTGGGTTTTGTTTTCTTGATTGCAACTTTACCATTAACTTTTACGGGTACTGTATTTTTTCCTCCATCTTCATCAGAGCTTGATTCAGTCGAACTGTCATCTTGGGACTTAGCCTGTTTGTTTTCAAGTTTTTCACTTGTTTTAGTATCTGCTTTCACAGGTTCATCTTCATCAGAGCTTGAATCTTCAGAACTAGATGACTCTGTTCCAAAAACAGAAAAGATTGCAACAGTATCACACTGAACCCAAAATTCATTTTCATAATTTTTTTTGGAAATAAAAGAGAACTGTTAGTCTATCTATTGAAGAAAGAAATTTGATATCAATCACTTCTGGGACGGAACCAGTCTCAATGAGAACTACAGTGTTCTGGAGATTATAGAGATGATGGACTCTGATTGATTGAGGATTAGATCATAACTTGCTGTAATCACCTTACAAAGGGTGATTTTAGCAGGAGCACTAAATTTCAAAATGGCAGTCTTACATTTTGTCAATGTTATGCAGGAAGTAGTAAATGTGAGAGAGGAAAATCTAATTCTGAAGGGCACAAAAGATGCTAGTAAGTTTGGTGTAACACTTTTCAAAAGAACGACATGAAGCTTTTGCTGATAGGATTAATGAAACTGTAAAATTCTACTGGAAACTACCTGCTCTTCGGGATACGAGTAATTCAAACAATTGTAACAGAATTTACAATTTACAATTTACACAGAATTCGAAGGCACATTAATTATACAAAAACAGTTATTTGCCTAAGGCTCTGTGAAGATTGTTGAATAATTATCTCAACTTCATCTTGGGGATCATTCAACAATATTTATTTTACCCTTGGCAAACAATTGTTAAATATTTGAGTTTCCCAGTGCTGAAGATTTTCTCTGCCACACATTGCTTTCAAAAACTTCCTGCCCTTACCTCATCCTTGTGACTTGACTACTGACGCCAGCATGTAAGCCATAAAGTCATGTAACCCCACTACTATGAGCCAGAATTAACAGATAGAAACTATCTCACCTGAACTTGATTTCTGGGTCTTTTGACGTTTGGATTTTGGTTCTTTACTAATTCCATTTAATTTTCTTTTCAAAGGAGCTGGATTTGATCTAGAACAACAAAATTACAAAAATTCTATAAAAATAACATAATGCAAAAAGCAGCAAAAGCTTCTACTTTTTCTTCTATAAGCAATGAAATTTTAGTACCCTCGGATGGAATGGTTATCCCTCTAACTTCCAAGAGTGACCAAGACAGAATTTCTCCATACAATATCAAGCATAACAGTGATGAGAATAAAGAAAAATGATCCATTAGGAGATTAGTTGATCCCATACCAAATTCTCCCTACTAGCATCATGAGAACTGTATGGCAGACAGTAGAGAGAATTAATAATGAGATCTTGGGAGTAAAAAGGTTCATTGACAATCACAGCATTCCAACTTAGTCTCCCTAAAATACTCTTGCCAACCACATTGTCTTTGGTAGGTTAAAGAAATACAGTTAAATCTCACCTTAAGAAAGCCTTGAACCACTCAAGAATATCACTTTCCTGATGGGGTTGAGATAAATCCTGTTGTAAACAAGAAAAAAGGTGAGTTGGAAGCTTTAAAACAGGATCTAGGCAGTAAGATGAACTCCAGTAGTACAAGCCACAGTGACACAACAGGATGATAAACATGAAATTGAAAGAATATCAGTGGTAATAAGCCGAGGGGGGAAGAATTCCATATAACCCCATACATTAATTATACATTCATTTCAGAAAGACTAAATATAAAGGTTTCTTTGCAACACTCTATGCATAATTAATGTATGGGGTTATATGGAACTCTTGCCACTGAGGGGACTGAAAGAAAACCGCTCTCACAGTATACCGGTGACAATTGCACAACAACTTCTACAATGGGCTAGTGCTAGTTCAACAAAGCTTCTACAATGGGCTAGTGCTGCCACACCAAGACTATGCCGACACAGTGTGGGGAGATCAACCCGGTTTAAAATCAGAAATGGAAAAATTGCAAAGTTTTCAGAACAAATTTGTGAAGAAAATCAAATTAGGCAAGATGTCTTCTTCAGAAGCTCTAAAGTGCCTAAATTGGCTCCCTCTGGCTGGAAGACGTCTATTTCATCGTTGTACCACCATAAAAAATGCAATCAAAGGAGACATTCCGCAACATTTTGAAAGTTTTAAATCGACATTGAGAAGTTCGCATGGCTACAACACTAGAAATGGCTACTTACCTAGACTGCCTAAACCTAAAACGGAATGCGGAAAGAGGGTGTCCTACTTCCGTTTTATAAATGACTGGATGTCCCTCCCAGTATTTTTAAGAAGGCCAATGCCATGCA